TGAACTCCTGGCTGGGTCTAACTGGTGTAATAACACAGAACTGGGCTGGAGAGGGGATTCAGTGACTCCCACGGGGAAGGAGTGAGGCTGGTGGACACCAGACCCTGCCCTGGAGGCTGGAGCAGTTCATCCAGCTCACTGCATCCCTTGGGATCGCTGGAATGACACAGACCCATCTGCCAGTGTCTGCTGAGGCAGGGGAGGGGTCATCTGATCTCCTCCCAGGGGCTTCCTCAGGACAGACAGAGCTGGTGGTGGGTCCCTCAAACATCATCTCCCCAAACACCGTCACCCCAAACACCGTCACCCCAAACACCGTCACCCCAAAGCACTGTCACCTCAAAATACCATTACCCCAAAGCGCTGCCACCCCAAAACACTGTCACCCCGAAACACTGCCACCCCAAAGTACTGCCATCCCAAAACACCAAACCTCAAAGCACAGTCACTCCAAAACACCATCACCCCAAAGCAGTGCCCCCCCCAAACCACCATCACCCCAAAGTACCAAACCCAAAACCACTGTCACCCCAAAACACCATCACCCCAAAACACCAAACCTTAAAGCACTGTCACTCCCAGACACCATCACCCCAAAACACTGTCACCCCCAAAATACAATCACTCCAAATCACCATCACCCCAAAACACCAAACCCTGAAGCACCATCACCCCAAAGCACCATCACTCCAAAGCAGAGTTACCCCAAAGCACCATCACCCCAAAGCACCGCCACCCCAAAGCACTGCCACCCCAAAGCACTGCCACCCTAAAAAAGCTGTCACCCCAAAAAAACTGTCACCCCAAAGCAGTTACCCCAAAGCACCATCAATCCCCAACACCAAACCTCAAAGCACAGTCACCCCAAAGCACCATCCCCCAAATCACTGTGACCCCAAAACACAGTCACCCCAAAGCACCATCAACCCCCAACACCAAACCTCAAAGCACAGTCACCCCAAACCATCACCGCAAAGCACTGCCACCCCAAAAAACTGTCACCCCAAAGCACCATCAACTCTGAACACCAAACCTCAAAGCAC